AGCACACAATGAGGAAAGAGGGCTTGGAAAATTTGATACTCACAGGACAGAGTGAAGGCAAGAGGTCAGAGGAAAACAATACATAACCTACCAAGTGAGCTTGAGTAAATGGATGGCGGAACAAGCTTTAGGAGAGATAACAAAAAAACAAAACTCATTAAGAGCTAGAGGGGACAGGAAATTGTGGAAATGAAGGACGAAGGCTTGGAAAATCTGATACACACAGGAAAGATCGAGGGACAGAGGAAAACAACTTATGACGTACATTTAGTAAGCCTAAGTAAATGAATTTCGGAACAAATTTTAGAAATAAAGAAATACAGAATTTATTTAGAGCCCGTAGGGACACTGTGTAGAGGTTTGATCACTTACGTCCTAAGGGTACAGGGCATATAAAGAAAATCTTTCAAGTTTTATCCAATTATCTTCCCAAGCCTGTGGGAATGGGGGGGGGTCAAACAGAGGGAAAGAATGGGTGTGTAGTTTTCCGTTCACAGAGCGGAAATCTAGGATATGAATGAAATCTAGGATATGAATTTGGAATTCCTTTTCTTAAGCGATTCTGCCGAAAGCCTACATGACCATTTATTTAGATTAGCATCCAGACACGTGAATGACGGCAAGTATAAAATTAAAATGAACACCGATATTGGATTAATTAAAGTAAAGAGAAAATTAAACAAATAAAACAAGGTACCTCCAAAGATTCGCTAATAAATGACGAAAAAACGCCCCTAACTTAATAAAAACAAAGTTTTAGCGTCCAAACATTTATGCTATTGTTAAGAGGAAAGACCAAAGGATTTTTAAATATTAAATTATATTTGTTAATTTTCTTAGGTCAGAGAGGGGGATCGTAAATTAATATAGAAAATTTGAGCTTCTTTTTTGCGGGGAAAACACACTGATTTGGAAATTCTTGCAAAATTTAAATAATTGTCGGATTTTAAGGATACGTTCAGGAATTATTCACAAATGAATGAAATTATTTTAGAAAAGGCTTCTTTTTTAAAAAGATCTTTGTAAAAATATTTTTTTATATCTGTTACCCCACTTATTTAATTTAATCAAATTTCGAGAAATCCATTTTTGTAGAGCGTCGTAATCTGCAGTTAACGTGAAGTCCTTGGAGAATTTAAATAATTAATCTTATTTTGTCAAACAGAATTCTCAGTTACAGAAAAGATGCTCTGAATCAAAAAATAAAAATGCAATAAAAGTAAATTATTATATAATTAGAAAAGCTTTTAATTGCTTTCATGAATAAGATTTATTGCGGAAACTACTGTCTTAAAAATTATTTCAATGAATATTTTTTTAAAACTATTCACCCCAAGCAAGGCGCGAGTGCCACAAGTACTCAAGGGGTTACAGAAAGTGGGAGCAAGAGTAAAGAGACGTGGGAGAGGAAAGGATGAAGAGAAGAACGGGGAATTAGATCAAGACATCTGGAGATGTCGATTGACATTGCATTTGAATAGTTGGAGATCATAGCTACCAGGGAGGCAAGTAGGAGGAAGGGAGTTCCACAGACGGGAAGTGCGAGACATGAAGCTATTGGAGAAGAAGAGACGGCTAAATTTAACCGTTTCGACAGTGAAAGGGTGGGACCGAAATGCCAACCAAGTGGTACGTTTAAATTCATGCAGTCTGGGAACTAGCGAAAATAGCTCGTCGGAGCTGTTACCGTGAAAGTATTTGTAGAAAAGACAGAGGGAGGCGACGGCACGTTTCTGAGAGAGCGACTGTAAACGAGATGCCAGATCAGGGCCAACAACATTGCATATTCGTCTCTGGATTTTGTCGAGGACCCTAAGACGCACAGCGGGGGCTCCAGACCAACAATATTCCATGCAAGGGCGAATAATGAATTCTTGCATGAATTGTTTTCATTTTTTTAAGTTTCATTAGAATAATATATAAAGTTTTAAATATTTTGAAATTCTGTATTAATTTGTAGCGGTGAGCTAATATTTAAGTAAAATTATATTTACTTATCATAAACGGAATGCTTCCCAAAATTCAGCGTCTTCCATTAATTTAACAAGAATTTTAAATGTTTGTGTGTCTGTTGTGAATACGTACGTCCACACACGACATTATCAAAAAAGAAGAGCGATTACAATAGTAAATTTAGAATTTATTGGTAATTTTCTAACATTTCTTCAACGAGCGTCTTCGTAAATAAGATTATGAAACCAAATTACTTAAAATTCAATAAAATATTAAATTGCTTAGACCATTATCCTAATTTTTTTACAATTATTGGTTAATGAAAAATGCATTTGAAATAAGTGTTCAAGTTGCAGTTATGTCCCCGTTCTTTAAAAATGCCCAACATAAAGCTATGGAAAAATCCGTCAACACCTCAGGAAAAACGCCGTTACAAATGATTATCCACCATATTCGAAATTAAAAGTAATTAAAATTTGCTTAAATTCAGATTAATTAAACAGTAAACTAGTTAATCGTCATCAAATAAGTGTTTTAAAAATATATTACATTTTTTAAACATTTTTAATGAGGAGAATTTTGCGATGTTGACAGATTTGTCAATATGGCGAATTTTTGCGATTAAAAAAGTAGAATCATTCCAATCAATTTATATTCGGTTTGAAATGCAATAAAATATTTTTGCTTGTTGTAAATGTTAAATTTAATATATTCGCTTGGAATTAAAACTAACATAAAAACTTTTAGAAATATAATATATATATATATATATATATATATATATATATATATATATATATATATATATATATATAAAAGACATTTTTTATGTTTATAACAATTTTTTTATAGATACAAATATTTAAGTAAATGCTCTGTTTATAATAAAAACAGTATTAACGACATTTACCGGCCTGAATAAATATAATGCAACTACATAAAAATTATATTAAAACTATGTGATGTTAGACAATTTTTCTCTCTAAAATCTCAAAATTCTTCCTTGCATTGAATATTGTTGGAAATCAGATCTGTTGCTTCTTCTATACTTTCAGAGATTCTTGTTAAAATTCAAAGAATCTGCAACGTTATTGGTCCTGACCTGGCATCTCACTACCCGTCACTTTTCCACCGGGTAATGTAGCTTCCCCCTGGCTTTTCTAGAAATAATTCTATCGTAACTGTTCTGACGAATTTTTTTCTACGGCAGCTAGACTTTCTGAATTTAAACCCCGTACGAAATATGTGGTAAAAACTCACTATTTTACAGTTGGAATGGCTAAATGTAACCGTAAGTTCTATTCTTACGGTTTCTTCTTTCGCGCGTCTCGCTTGTGGAACTCTCTTCCGGCTTCTTGCTTCCCTGTCAACTTTGATCCTCAAAAATTTAATGTGATGTCAATCGTTATATCCACTCTTATTAATTATTGCCCTTTCATTGTTCTCTCTTCTTAATAGTAGTTTTCTCTTACTTTCTAATACTCAGTATCCCCACCTTGCGTCTTAGTGGCTTTATTGCCTTGCTCGGGGTGAAATGATAAATAATGATAAGGCAAAATAGCAGAGAAAATATGAAACCTTCATTCACGTACCTCTGTGGAGAGGATCTGTCCATTTATATCAGGGGTTCTCAACCGGGGTCCACATGGACCCTAGGGTTAATATTTCTGGAAGTCCACACGCAAAGTATAACAAATTGGGTGTCGACAATGATATTTTGGTGGTCCATGAAGAAAGCCAATGATATTGGTACATAGTAACCTTTGCTCTAGGATAAAGTACAACTCTACGTTCTTGCTTTTCCAACATCTTGTTGAATCGGGATTTAGTGGTGTTTCTCAACTGTTATCAAAATTTCACAATAGACTTGACATTGTGAAAAGATGAGATTTTCGACTATCATAAACATCGATGGAACCAGATATAAAAAAAACTCGCTGGGCAGCATCAACCACAAGGATCTCGTTGAATAAATACGCCTTTCCTTTTTTTTCTCATCACACACTTAAATTGGTTTATTTAAATTTTTAATCAGTGTGTATCAATAAATGCTGCAGTGAATTAAATTGCCTGAAGAGCTCTGCTCCCTATGGGCTTGACCATGAAAAAAAAACATTGTAATATTTTAATACAAGATATTGGTCAATAAAAAATATTATTATTATTATTATTGTAGAATAATTTATTTCCATTAAATTAGTTTTCATTTAACAATAAAACTGAATTATATAATATTTCTTTGATTATTAAAACCTTAAAATTTTTATTAGTGAAAAACAAAATATTTTTGTTTTATGTCGAATTTCGAGAAATCCATTTTTGTAGAGCGTCGTAATCTGCAGTTAACGTAAAGTCCTTGGAGAATTTAAATAATTAATCTTATTTTGTCAAACAGAATTCTCAGTTACAGAAAAGATGCTCTGAATCAAAAAATAAAAATGCAATAAAAGTAAATTATTATATAATTAGAAAAACTTTTAATTGCTTTCATGAATAAGATATATTGCGGAAACTACTGTCTTAAAAATTATTTCAATGAATATTAAGGGAAACCAAGAAAAAAAAAGATGGCAAAGGTGGTCCATGGGTAAAAAAATTGTTGAGAAACACTTATTTAGATAAAGGTATAGAGATATATGGAGAAAAAAAAACAGACATCGATAAATATGTTCAGCATACGCCATACTTACCTTGCACATGGGGGAAATACTAAGAGGCGTCCGGTCCCGAGGAACAGCTACCCGCGGCTGTACGCACTTCATTGCACTCGGGAGTGGGGATCAGTTGTCATACCGATGCTAGCACAACCGGCGGTCTGGGCAATTTTTGGTATTTGCCCGGGTGTACGCGCTAGAAATCCCCACGTTAAACCCGACCTTGTGCTTCATCACGTCTCAGGGTAGAAACGGGGTAAATACGTACATAATTAAATATGCACGATTTTATTTTATATACAAACAAGCAACGAACAGAATGTTTTTTCTCACGTATTTTTTCGATCTATTTACAGTGTTTTCATCGCTTGAAAGAAATCAAGAATGCATTTTATGACTATATTGCCACAATATATTGATGCTGTCCACGATGCGCCATTCGGCAACCCGGAAGAAGACACTCCGTATGAAGCTCAGCAACCGGACGACTTATTACCAGAAGAATTCGCAACGCTTCAGATCTGGCTCTACGCAACCCCAGTCCTTCTTCTGACGGGCACCTTAGGTTCTTTGGCTTCCGTATGCGTACTTCTTCGACCCAACATCCGTAAGTCGACACCAATGTACTTTCTGACGTTGCTTTCGTTCACCGACGTCGTAGGGCTCTGGCTCGGACTGTTACGACTTTATGTCTCGCACGTTCACGACTTCGACATACGCAACGCCTCAAATCTAAGCTGTAAACTTCACACGTTCTTTGTTTATTTTATGCTCGATCTGGGCTCCTGGTTACTCGCTTTGATTGCCATAGAACGCTTCTTGTTTATCGTTTTCCCACACACAGCCAGATTGCAATGGAACCGCACAAAAGGGACCTATGCAGTCATTGTCATCTCTATCATTCTAACCGTGGTAAATGGACATTATATATTTACGACATATCTACAACAGCCATGTTTAGTGTCAGATATGGTTAATCTGGTTAGCAATTCAAGCTTTCATGTAAGTGCCACAACAGAGAGGATTAATCTAACTGAGAAAATCTACAACGATAAGGTCATTGGTAAAGATTTTAAAGCTCTAAATATTTTCTTGCCTAACGTGTCTAAAACTATCTCGGCCGGTTATAATCAATTTGGTAACATGTCTGCGAGAAGCAGGGACAATGACGAGGCACCTCGTTGCAGAAACAAACCTTGGAGCGAACATTTTCACAACAACATTTTCCCGTGGATCGATTTTCTAGCGTTCTTTTTCTTGCCATTCTTCGTAATGGTCATCACGCACGTTGGAATCATTCGACACGTTTACTTAGTGAATATTCGCTTAAGAAAAACACTACAACCCGTTGAAATATCAGGACGTCAAAGAACAGCGAATGCAGTCCCGGGTAAAGTCCAGTGTATATCTATCGAAGGGCGAACAAAGACGACACTTGATACAGAAGAAGCCAATTCGACACTCGATGTAGCAAAAGGAAACAAGAAGAGAAAAAATGGGAGAGACAAAACCCAACAATCAAAAGTTGCTGGCGTCTCCCTCATGTTAGTTTCTGTTCTAGTTTCCTTTGCGCTAACCACGTGTCCGATTACGGTTTTTGTTATCCTGGGTCTAATTCAATCGGAATCCCCGAACCAGACGCGAGAGGAGCATGCTACTCAGGAATTACAATGGGCAATAGTTAACATGATCCAGTACACTAACAACGCTTCGCATTTTTTTTTATTTATCCTGACTAGCAAAAGCTTTCGCCAAGAACTTTTGCAAATCTTGACCGAGTTTTCTTTCAACTGCAGAAAGCTTGCTTCTGCGTGCAAAAAAAGCTCAACTACAGTCGAACCGATTTCCGCTTAGCGAATTTATCGATTTTGTTGTATCTTCGTATTTCCTTCAATAAATTAGTTGTTCATTACGTTGATTAAAAACATTGATGGTACGAGTTTTAAGGTGTGAACAATCATCAAGTAAGATGGTATGAGTTTTAACACCTGGATACTGAGTAAGATGGTATAAGTTTTAAGATGTAAACAATTACTAAGAAAGATGGCATGAGTTTCAAGGTATGAAAAATCATCAAGTATGATGGTATGAGTTTTAACAACTACATAATCAGCAATAAAGATGGTATGAGCTTTAAGGTCTAAACAACCACTAAGAAAGGTGGTATGAATTTTAAGGACTAAACAAGCCCTAAGAAAGATAGTATCAGTTTCAAGGTATGAACAATCATCAAAGATAATGGTATGATTTTTAACATCTGCATAATCAGCAAGAATGATGGTATGAGTTTTAAGGTTTAAACAACCCGTAAGAAATACGGTATCAGTTTTAAGGTCTAAACAATCCCTAAGGAAGATGGTATGAGTTCTAAGTTGTGAACAGTCATCAGGGGTCATGGTATGAGTTTTAACATCAGGATAATCATAAAAAATGGTAGTTTGAGTATGGATAATCACCAAGAATGATGGTCTGAGTTTTAACGTTTAAACATTTACGAAAAATAATGGTATTTGTTTTAACCTTGAAACAATCAAGAATGGTGGTATATGTTTTAATGTCTGAACAATCCCTAATAAAGTTGATATGATATTTGAAAAATCACCAAGAATAATGCTATGAGTTTTAACGTTGTCAGGAATGATGGTCTGAGTTTTAACAGTGTGAACAATTATCCGAAATGATTGTAAGATTTTTTTAAAGATCTGAAGATAAATAAATATTTATTGAAAAAGTTTAAAGGTCTGAACAATCATCAAGAATGATGGTATGAAATTTGATGTTTGGAAATTCACCAATCATTACAGAAAATAAAGAAATCACTAATAATCAACATTCGTATTTTCAGCAGTAGCCATTGCCAACCTTTACAAAGACTGTGAAACACATACAAGTAAATCTATTAATTAGGTCCTAATCCGGCATCTCGTCTACAGTCACTTTCTCGCAGACGTCATGTGGTTTCCTTCTGTCTTTTCTACAAATATTTTCATGGCAACTGCTCTGACGAGCTACTTTCACTGGTACCCCAATTGTATGAATTTAAGCATGCTAATAGTTTGGCATATCGTTCACACCCTTTCATTGTCGAAGCAGTTACATGGAACCGCCTCTTCTACTCCATCTGCTTCTTCTCTCACACTTCCCGACTGTGGAACTCTCTTTCTCCTACTTGCTTTAATAATCTTCAATCGACATCTTCTGATGCTTTGATCCTGATCCCCTTCCTTTTCTATATTCTTTCCTAAAAAACACTCTTTACTCTTACTCTCAATCCTCTGTAACCCCTTGCGTACTATTGGCACTCCCGACTTGCTTTGGGTGAAATGCTTTAAAAAAATCTAATTTGTGGAATTCTGTAGCTGCCGATTTCAAATAAAGGATCTGAAAGACACCTCTATGCTTTATTTATCTTTTTGATATTATTATATTTATTATATGATATGAGTTTTAAGGTGTGAACAGTCATCAAGGATGATGGTATGAGTTTTAACATCTGAATAATCAGCGAGAAATTTGGTATGCATTTTAACATCAGGACAATTATAAAAAATGGTAGTTTGAGTATTATCTATACTCAATATCATACAGGATATTCTTTATATCCTGTCGTCGTAGTGCCGGCCGCTTTCCACGGCATGCAGCAATAAACGTCATCATCAGAAGAGATCTGGATGCAGCTGGGTTCTCTTCCCAAATCGAACACGTGTGCCTCGACCGCGGTGATGGAAAGCGGTCGGATGTCATAACCATTTTCCCTTTTAAAATGGGGAAGTCGTTGATTTGGGATGCGACCTGTGCGGATACATTTTCGGCCGGTAATTTGATTAGGTCCGCGACTGACCGGGGTTCCCTCACCCCGGACGCAAAGATAAAAAAAATAGTTAAATATTCTTCTCTTGCTGATAGTTTTTTTTTTTTTTTTATTCTTGTGGCAGTGGAGACTTCAGGGGTTATTGACCCTCGTTCGATGGCGTTCCTTCGGAGAATTGGCGCGATGGCATCTCGATTACGGGACGAGCCTCGCGAAACGGACTTGCTCTTGCAGCGTGTCTCAATGGTTCGAGGTAGTGCTTTCTCCATCATTGTGTCTGGCAGAGGATAAAAAAAATTGTTTATAGTTAATTTGCTCAAACTTTTTTATATTCTTTTTCTTTTTGTGAAAGGTGTTTCTGAATTACAGACAATTAACACACGATGCGTTAGTTTGTATATCATAGCTTATTATCAATTATTTCTAATCAGCATTATTAGTACTTTAGCGTATTTGAGATCATAATAGACATAAATATTAGATGTACACTTATTTTAGCAGGATATATTCAGGAAGAAGCATATAATGTTTAAAGCAAGCATTACCTAAAATTACAACAGTATCTAACCTATATCAGAAAATATTACTGTATATAAAAAGCAAGTTAGCAGTTTAGTTGAACTTAAATACAATAGTAAAAATATCTACCATAATTACACTAATAAATAATAGCGGAGAAAGGCTTACGGCTATATCACGTTGAAACATTGGTTCTCGTACGATCACTGAAGTATGTTACAAATAGTGTCCGGTAGGTCTCCATGAATATTTAAATGAGATCTAATTGAGCTATGATCAGAAAGGTGTAGAGTGAGTCTTCGTGTCAAACATGTGGCCTATATAATTATTTACGAATTTTGATTGATCAGGAATACAATACCTTAATGGGCATTTAAATTCGTAAATAATATTTGCCCTATTTAATTATGTTCTAAGAGGTGAATTATTATTTTTTTTTTCATCTTCATGGAAACCTACCGGACACTATTGGCAACATACTTAATGACAACACAAATATAATAATATCATCTACATGTAAAAAAGACTAAAAACAAGGGAAGCCTTATTAATAAAAAACAAATAAAAAACAATACTTAATAAAATCAACTATGAACATGAACACAATATCTGCACAATATCTTGACCGTGTTTTGAAAAATGAAAATATTATATTAAATACATACATGCAACAAACTATTTCTTATTTAACAGTTAAAATATTTAATCCTTGAAAATGGCTAAATGTATAGCCGAAAGCACTTGGATAAAAAGAACATTCAGACAGTTTTTTTATATAATTTATCATTTGGAAAGAAAAAAATTATTAGATCGCATGAGAAATTGTATAAAAGAACTAAATAAAAGCACCTTGTCTGTCGTATTCAGTGAAATGTGCATAAAAGAAGGATTGCTGCCTAAATACACAAATTATATATATATATATATATATATATAGGATATAGTAGAAATACCACTAATATACACCTTCCATAAATTACTACCACATGATGGTATAACATTAGTGGCAATGGTCCCTTCTTCTAGCTAATGTCTTACCATGTCTTAGCATTATGTGAGAGGTATTTCTGCGTGGTATATTTAGGAGATATTTCTGTTCCACCTTGCATTATATGTATATATTTATCGCTAATTGAATGGCAGTATTGAAAAAATATGTGACACGTTTCGTTCTTCGAAGGGACTTCTTCAGACTAAATAATCTTTGTATGGATGAAATTTCACCCCATGGAAGTCAACGAAACCACTAAGACGCAAAGAGGTCCTGGGTGTTAGAGAAAATGAAAAAGAAAACATTATGAGAGAGAGAGAGAGAGAGAGAGAGAGAAAGAGAGAGAGTGTGTGTGTGTGGGTGTGTGCGTAATAAAAGAAAAGATATGAAGAAAACAGAAAACGATTGACATTACTCATAAATTTCTGAAGATCAAAGTTGATTGGAAAGCAAGAAGCTGGAAATGAATTACACATACGAGAAGTGCAATAGAAGAAACTGTTAACATAGAACTTACGGTTACATCTAGCCATTTTAACTGTAAAACGGTGTAATTTAGTAGTATACTTAAATTCATAAAGTCAAGGTAACATAAAAGAAAGTTTAAAAGACAATTACTATGACAATATTTATAGAAAATGCACAGATACGTTAAGGCAGTGGGAACTATATTTAGTCGTCCCCCCACGAGGGCGTCATGTGGCACAAGGACTTTTTAACGTGGGCATTTCCGAGCCATTAGGCCAGAAAAAAAAAAAATACCCATTTGAACCCGTATAAACGGGTTCAGGGCCGGTTTTACTCCCCAGTGGAGACTCCGCCCTTCGGCGTAGCCTCTTCGGGTTCCTCTCCGTCCGTAGACAGAGAGTTGAACCGAACCGTCGCTCAGAAAGTGAACGACGGACTGACTAGGCAGTGGGAATGTGACTAAAACCGAGATGCCAGGTTAGGACCAATAACATTGCAAATGCTTCATTTCTATTATATAAAGGATCGCTAAATATATAGTAAAAGCATCAAATCAGATGTGACAGCAATATTCATTGCGTAGGTGGTAGACTTATAAATATGTAATATTCTGGCGAGAAAAATGATCTAAGACGACACAGGGAACCAAATTTCCAAGCAGCAGACCTAGAAATTGATTTAATATAATCTTTCCAATTCATGTCTGCGGAAAACGTTAGTCCGAGAAGGAGCAACGTGTCACTGTCTTGGAGGTTAGCATCGGCCATTTTTATTTTAAAACATTTGTTTTAAACATAGATTGTTATCTTTTTGTCCAAGCCAGGTAGAAAAATATTTTCTGTCTTATGTGTAATTAACTAGTTAATTTAAAAACAAAATAAACATCCTCCAAGTGTGCTAGCTCTATGACTTTTGCTGGGGATTGTAGTAAAGGATCGGTTCATGTAATAAGAACTATATTACATAGAAACAATCTAAGCCAAAGTATTTAAATCCTGAAGAAGGCCAGAGCGTACAACGGCTGAAACGTCGTGAATATAGCAAAGAAGATGAGGACAACAGTAA